GCCTGCAACTTTTCAAATCAGTAATTCAATCTTTTAGTCACATTGATTCGGCACTTAAAATTCAAATTCACCATCTCGTTTAAAAACTGCAAATGAAGTAAATCAATGGCAGGCACCAACCCCTGCCTCCCTCCATGGGGATTGATATGCTCCACGCGTTTATTTTCTGGGTGAATAAGTCTGCCGCTCCTGCAAATAGGAAGTGCACAGGTAATTACAGGGGTACCTTGGTTCATGAACTCATTTCTCTTCACAGTTCTGGTTCAAAACTGAACTGGATGAGAGCTGAGTCACATTTCCCTATAAGGTCAACACTGAACCTAACCATTGAATTTGATTCAGTTTCTGTCCAATTCAGATTGCAACTAGAATGGTGGAAAGAATTCAGGTCACGTACTGAGGCACCATTGTACAAAAAAAGCCAAACTGCAAAAGGCTATGATCCAGGCAGTTTTGCCTCTTTTAAGAAAATTCTATTAATCCTTAAAAAAACCCTACTCATTTTGCAAATTGAATATCTTTTGTTGTCAAACCAGTGATGTGTTAATAATAGGAAGCATTTTGTTCATAACTAGAGAAACAAAATCGTAAGCTCATTTCAGGTAGACTAAAAAAGACAAAAGTGACATGCATTTCTTATAAAAAACATACTAGCATTAACATTTATCAAGCATGCTTTTTTCCTCCAATCAAGAGCACAAAGTTTCCCCTCAGGAAACCATCAAAGCACTTAAGGATGACCTTGCCGGATGGTGATGCAAAGCTGTAATCACAAGTAGCTCGTGTGGCTTAGGAATCTCCTGCACGGATATGATGACCTGTGGCATTTCATTTATATCAAAAACCTTATCTCTGTTCTATCGGAGTGAGTAACTGCATCAGTTTTCAAAACAGCACATAAAGCACTATTGTGTTATTCTTACTATTAGTATTTTTATTGCATATCATGACATGGAGCCTCTTAAATATCGTGCATATCGAATGTCAGCTTCTTGACAGTCACATGCAGTGAGGAGGGTCCCCACGTTTTGTACAGGGAAAAGGAGGTGCAGAAGCTACGCAAAGAACAAGCTCATCTGAAAGTCACCCTTGCATCTCCACCCTGAAGGTCACTGATTAACATCATCCATGACAGGAAGGAAGGAAGGAAGTCCTCATCCGGGAGGGGTCAGAAAACAAGCTTGTTCTGATGAGGGCACAGGGGTGAGGCCCCTTGCTAAGGCACAGCTAGAAGCCATTTGGATACAAACACCCTGATGCAGGTATGAAGAGGCAGGTGGGGGAGGAGGGGCAGGTGAGAAGGGGCGGGCCTGAGGCTGTGTGGGACACCGTGCTGATTTCTGGACAGCCAGAGGAGTCCTGCACCCTTAGGGCCTGGGTTTGAAGCCCTGCCCCATGGCTCTTGTTCTCTTTATTCCTTGACTACTCTGTGCCTCAGTTTCCCCATCTGTGAAATAAGCCAGGGGTTTTTACTACGTGTGTACAGATCCGTGAAACACTTAGTAAGTGTGAATGCTGTGGCAGAAACCAGAGGGTCTGACTGAGGAACAGGTCTGCGGAACAGTGAAGGAAGTAGAACACGGTCAGTGGGCTGGGCAGGCGCACAGCCCATCCCCCGGGGAACAGATGTGGGACCAGCTACATGAAGGGCCCTGCTGGGAGCCTGGTGATGCCACAGCCACAGGCAAGGCTTTTGCTATGATCCGCGAGGTGGCTAAGAAATGCAGGCGTACACACACACACACACACACACACACACACACACTCACGCACATACTTCCAAGAAAAAGATGCAGCAAGTACGGAGAAAGGGAGATGGGAAAGCGCAGGACACTTCTCAAGAAGGCTGAGGGAGACTGGGTCCTGCTGATGGCCGTGATCGGACAGGACGGGCTCCCTAGTGGGGCAGCACACCTTCAGTCACCTGGGGACACTAGAGTTCCAGGACCCCCTGAAACAGAGAACTTTGGGGTGCCCCTGAACACGGCTCACAACAGCCTGGCAGCTGGAGGGCACCCAGGGCAGGGCACTGTCTACAAGCATGCCCACACTGAGGCTGTGGCACAAATGGGGGAGAGAAGGGCACTGGTCGAGGTGGGGGCCTCAGGGTCAACCCTGGGGCTGCCGGGGGAAGTTGGGGACAATAAGGAGATGGGACAGTGTGAAAGAGCTGGACATCCACGGAAAGCTGGGTGTGATAGCCAGACGTGAGAGAATGGTCAGGCAGATCACGGGGCTGCAGAAGGGGCGGACAGGGTCTCAGGTGAGATCCTGGGGAGAAGAGGGGTCGGGACAGAGTGCTAGCCATGCCCAAGTGAGGCAGCACCAGGGTGTGGGTGCAGCCAGAGAAGGGGCTGGGCATGGAGCGGGAGCAGCTTCTGGGCACAGGCGACACCAGCTGTATCACAGGCCACAGACCTGGGGGATGGACGGACAGAGGATGCAGCCAGGTTAGGAAGGGAGTTTGGGAGCGGTTTTTGATCAAAAGTGGAATTCCTGGTGTTGGCAGCGGTGAGGCAGCATGGCAGGGGTTTACGGAGAAATCAGAGGGAAGAATAGAGGCCATGGATTCCATGACGCTGCCTGTGACGGAAGATAAAAGGCCGGGAGACGTCACTCAAAGAGCCAGAAGGTCAGCTCTCGTGGATGTAGACTCTGAAGAAGACAGGCAGAGTGGGGCTGCCCTCCAGGTGGGTGGAAGGTCTCCTGGGGGCGGAGTCTATGGAGACCGAGGAGGCCATGCGATTGGTAGCTGGCTGTCAAGGCGCTAAGAGGTAGAGTGGGCGTGACTGTGAGAGTCCTCCAAAGGGCCTTCCACCCCTCCAGGGACCTGGACTGCCTGCCAGGCTGAAGGGCTGGGCAGGGTGAGGCAGTGTTTCTGGATCTCTGGTAGGATACTTCAAAGGATGACAAAGAGGCCCAGAAGCCTCACAAGATCTGGTCCTAGTGCAATCTTGTGACAAAATGGAATTTTATTCAGCCTTAGGAAAGGAATTCACGCCATTTACAGGAAAATGGATGGATAGTGAGACCATAGTGTTAAGTAAGTCAAGTAAGTCAGACGCAAAAAATGGAATGTCATATGGCGTCTCACATGGGAGAACCCTCAAGATGTGAATAAGTTAAAAAGTAAAACGGACTTTTTGGAGATGGGGAAGGGATCAGGAGAAAAGGGAAGGGGGAAAGTGGGGGGCATCAAAAGTGAGTATGATTTGAGATATACATATGTAGCCATTCCCCAAAATGAATGTAGATATTACGTACTGTAAACATACACCAATAAAAAGACATATCAATGCCGAAGCATCCAGGGTGAACGGGAATATTAAATTCTAAATAAAGAGGGCACCTGTCTCCTTGCAGCCCTAACTTCCGGTGCGGCGCTCTTGGAGCCAGAATGTGAAGCCCCCGTGAGGTGAGGTTAAGTGAGGGGCCTGGGTCAGAGGAAAAAGCATCCGAAAGAGCACGGAACATAGAGCTTTCTCTCCATCTCCGCGTCTCTCTTCTTTCTCCTCTCTTTCCCACCCCTACCCTGCCATGCGAGGACGGAGTGAGGAGGCGGCTGTCTGTAGTCCAGCGAAAGAGCCCGCAGCGCCTCAACCAACCTTGCCCTTGGTATTTTACTCAGGCGGCCACATCCTGGGCTGAGGCAGGATCCCCTCCAACAGCGCTGCTCTTTGCATCTCAGCACCCGGGGCAAATAAAAAGCCTGTCTTCCCATTCATGTTTTCATGTCATTTTTTATAATAGTTATATTTTTCCAGGAGAGAAAAGGCACTGAAAAAGTATGCTTGCTTCTATGAAAGTCAGGACGGTAAAATTATAAAGTTTTTTTTTATATAAATAAGAAATTTAAAATTGAAAAGCAGTAACATTTTAATATCTCCATTTTGCATATTTTCAGTATTTTTCTCAGCACTTTAATGTTCTGGGAAGAAAGGCTAATCATGAAAAGTACACAGCACTATGCTTTTTTTGGGGGGGGTCTCAGGCCCCAAAATGACTTGGGGACTTGCAGCTCAGAATCCAAAGGTACAGGTGTGTTTCAAAATTTTCTTTTATCGCTTGCTTATTTGCTGTTTTCCTCCTCTTACTGCATATCCATTAAAAATGACACTGCAAGCCACGAACTGCAGAGGAGCGCAACGGAAGTGTGTTTCACCGCTTCCCTCTGCAAAATGGGGGCGCAGCATGGTGAGTCAGGTGGCCCACTGCCTACCCTCTGCCTGTGAGCAGCAGGGGGGCACCAGACCCTCCTCTGGGAAGTGGCCTTGGATGACACTTGCTGTCTCCCACTCACACCATGCAAGGGAAGGTGAGAAAGTTGGGATCGACCCCTCTCTCTTTGGAACCCTCCCGCCTCCCGGAAGCTGTGTCCTGGTGAACGCTGCTCCTTCCTGTGGCCAGCAGAGGGCAACGGCACAGCCGACCTGCGGGAGTGTGCTGCGGCGGGGGGTCTTTCTTACTGGGCCCTGCTGAGAACTCGAGTCACAGCTGTCCATCTACACAAACATGCCGCACATGGAGGCAAAACGTGACAGAAGACCTCCAATTCCCTAGTGGATTAAAAATGCCCAATTTTGCCCAAATCACCCTTTCTACCAAATTCCTATGTGGCTGAGTTCATTTTTTGCTACATTATTTTAAACCAAAAGACTAGGATCCATCCTTCCTTTAATAAACAACTTTTACCTTCCACTTTATCACCTGTTTACTACAGCTATGGACTGCCGAGGCTGCCCTGTTCATCAGCAGGTGTTTTGAGGACAGACTCAAAGGCCCTAAGGAGTTCCGGGGATTCTCCTTTTCCCTTGCAGAACCTTGGACCCTGAGCTCTGGGCTGTGCCCAGTACCTGCTGGGTCCTGGAAGGGTTACTTGGGCTCAGGGTGGGGGGTGCGGGTGGGTGGGACAGAGGCCCATATGCTCGTTGGTGACACGCATGTACCTGGGCGTGTTCCAGGGACAGAGGCCCATATGCTCGTTGGTGACACGCATGTACCTGGGCGTGTTCCTGGCTGGGCACGGCACTCAGACCCGTCGCTGCCATGTACGTGCTGCCGATGGTCTTGATCTTTTCAACGCCACTGAATTTTGGTTTGGACAGCAGCTGCAAGGCAATGACAGTCCTTCAGTAACTTAGCTGGGTATGACCAGAAACTGTGCACCCCATAGTCATTCTCAAATTCAAGGGCGCAGGAAGTAGACATGACTTGTCTCCACCACTGTTATCACTTCCTGACCTTGGGTTTGATGGGAGAGAAGGCTTTATAGTTTCGTAAAGAGTGTGTCTTGGAAGGAAATAGAGTACAGTGCTTTACTGCCAATGAGCATGAATTACCTTCCAAACTGTGAGTGAAGGAACCAAGGTAAATTACTATGCAGATTAATACTGGCCTCAAATAAATTTTCTGATTGTTCTTGGAAGGCACGGATACAAACTGATGATGAGTGAAGTCATCCCTGCCGAGGTGCAGTGGTGTGTGGCCAAGTATCAATGCAAAGGATAATTGGCTTTGCCTCTGAGTACTTAAGATGGAAAGAATACAGATCCAGAAGAAAGAGTCTCCCCACCAGGTGTGGGGTTGTAAGCCCATACCCCAGCACTTTGGGAGACTGAGGCAGGAGGATCTCAAGTCTGAACCCAGCCTGGCAATTTAGCAAGATGATATCTCAAAATAAAAAATACAAAGAGTTGGGGATGTAGCTGTTTGAAGCCCCTGGGTTCAATCCTCAGCACCACACACACATGCACACACACACTCCTTCCTCCCATCATCCCTAATGCTAATACTCTGGCTCAGGTAGCAGTTATCAGCTTTCCATTTGACTCCTCTTTGATTTTAGGCCTTGGCATGGGAGGCAGAACAGAAGATACAGAACAGAAACTTTAGGAAAGAAGATGGATGGGTGGAAGATCTGGAAAGTTCTCTATCTGCTCAGAAAAGCAAGGCTCAAATTGATAGGATCAACGGAAAACCAGAAGCATGTCCTTGCCTCTTCCTTAGTGCTTTGTTTTCAGACAAGATTCTTCCAGGATAATGTGTCAAAGAACTGAAGCTGGATGCATGTCACTGGTCCACATGCCCACTGTCACTCACCCCGGGGTACTAGGAAATTTATTTTATCAAGGGACAGCTGAAGCTGATATGCCAATGTTTTTCCCTATGCACCAGATAGCAGTGGAAATCTCTGGTTTTCATGATGTCCTCATGAATATCTAGGGTCAACCACATACTGAGGATAGGGCAGAAGAAAACCCACATGGCTCACATGACATTTAGAACCAGGATGGTCTGAAACCATCACATTAGAAAATCTCACTGTATTTCAAGATCCCATGAGCCCTGACGAACATAATTCCAGGGAGATCAACTTTCCTCTATTTTGGTAGTGATAAAAATCGCGAAGTTGCAGTATCTGTACAACCAGAGGAGGGGTTGTTCTCACCAGAAAACAGAACACAGAAATAATATGTAGACAGCACAGTGAGCATTGAAATATGACACCTATTTCAAATTCTAAAATATAGACTTTGTCTTTTCTAGAAGATGAAGCATGATTCCCCACACATATTTTAATAGAGTAAGCCATTTATGCATTGCTTAAGCAGATGTCTGATAAAGACCTTGGGGTATGCACAGGCATGCTGACAACTTCTATGTTGTATTTTAATAAGTAAAGGGATGGGTACCTATTTTCCACGGAGGTCAAGTCTTTCTAGAAAATCTGAATACAGATTTTGGTAGCTGTGCTTAGTAATAATATCGTCATCTCCCTCAAATCACCCGACGCTTAAATACAGCACATGGCTTTAACTCCCAAACCACCAGATGCTAAGCAAAAAGACAACTCTTAAGATGTATCACTCTACAGGACTATTTTCACATGCACAGGGAGCGGGCCTTCCTCTACCCTGAAGGCTAACTCTCAGTACTTACGTCATCAAAGTCAGCGATGATCTCATTCAGGAGACGGAGGCATTCCAAGCCCTCCTTGTTCACATCAGATTCTGTGTAGAATTCTTTGAAATCCGGAATGGAGGCAAACATGACGCAGACACAGTCGTAAGACTGGTGGTACAAATCCTACCAAGGAGAGAAGGGTGTGCTGAACACCAGGAGGCCTTGCAAATAAGGCTCCAAATGCAAGTGCTTGGTCATGCTTAGACTTACAAGGAAATCACCCAAGTGCCTTGTACCTCCACCCCAAGAATAGCCCCTGCCTCACACCCACACCACCCATGGCAGGAGATACTTCTACTAAGAAGATGCAGCCACCCATTAGTAGGAGGGCCCTTGCACTATCTCTGCCTGAGGTAATAACAAGCAATCACACACACAGTGTGGCTTAGGAGAAAGTGCCCTCCAAACAACTGAAAGGAAACAAAATCACTTCCTAAATGACTGTATTATCCTAAAATAACTTGATATTGCTACGTTCTTTGGATGGGGGTCTACAAATTCTCCACTTTGTGGTCTCCTGAAAGTTGCAGATAAAGCTCAGCAAGTGACTTCTTACCACACCAGAAAGAACAATTGGAACTCCTTAGGCCACTTATTCACTTGTATGAGACCCCAACAATATTTATTGAGGTTATTCTTTTGATTTTTAGACAGAAAGAGGCTTATATTTCTTCAACCATAGACAAGAGTAAAATTGCAATGTCTTGCAAACACGATTTCAAAATGTTTCCGTAATTTTCCCAACACATAGTGACAGTTTCAAATTCAATGAAGGTTTCAGAAAGGAAAGACTGTTGAGTGGCCAAGGGCGCTGGTTCCAGATGTGGACAACATACTTCTTCTACTGGGAGGAGCAGAATGCCAGGTGCCATTGTGGACACAGTGCATCTTGGGAAATGCTCCCTCCACAGGAAACATGAAGCAAAGTCCCTAAAAGAATGGCCTACTCCAGAGTGTAAGGAAACATGAGTGGCTGGCATTTCTTACGTTCTTTGCAGAGCAAGGAATCTCCTGCACAAACACTAACAAGAGGGGCCTCTGTTCTCTGGGCACCTGAAAGAGCACTTACACATGCTACATTACTACCGTTTGCTGGGCTCTTCTGGGAACTGTTCTCCCCCAGTGAGGTCTCACAATACACGTCAGGACCATGGCAGCCCAGCCAAAGATAACAGCAGCTTCCAGGAAAAACCAGACTCATGTCATACTTCTGTTTTCAGACCTGACTAATCTGTAATATCTTCCACTACTGCCTCAAAATGTGCACACATGAAGTGAACAATGGAATCAGGGTTTCCCTTTGTCTTCTGTGCTCAGCATGGCTGAGCTGTCCCTTTGTGCAAATTACGCGCGCTCTCTCTCTCTGCAAAGTTGCTTTGTGAACATTCCAATCTCTGCTAGACAACCTGGTGGCACCCGGGACTGCCAGCACCCGGTTTTAGTTATGCTGACCACCACCAGGGAGTTGGGGTAACAGGACAGAGATAACCGTAGGATCCTGTTTCAGTTAAAAATGTTCGTTTTAGAAGAGTAGCGTAAGCTCTATGGCCTCTTCCCGTCCTGTGGAAAAGGCACACATTTAGCAAGGGTCGGGCCTATTTTCTGCACCCTGTATTTTCTTCGCTGACTGCTGACATGGACCAGAGTGATCCCGGGGAAGGAGGGTGAAGACAAGAACAGGCTCTAGAATAGATGGCTCTTACTGGGGCCCACATGTCAGGGTGGGCGCATCCTGCATGCTCTACATGCATTATCTTACACTTGGCCACATCTGTATGAGGCTCAGCCTGCCGCTCCCCATCTACACATAAGGAAACTGAAGCATGGGGCAGCCACATCACCTGCCCCAGGCTGCAGTTACCAAAGCTGCTGTGGAGCTCACTCTGCGAAGGCCGCACTTACACTTTGTCCTGGGTCTCTCGGGTGACCATGGGGTCTGTTACCTGGATTCAGGAGTAGCCTGGGGCTCACACTACTCCCAGAGCCTGTGACTTTCCATTTCTCTTTTTCCTTGAAGCCTTTAAAGGTGTCTGAAATGCAAGACTGAACTGATCCGCATTAGGATCTGACACTGCACCTCATTTCACAGGACTCAAGTACGAACATGTGGCCCCACTCACCGGCTGAGCTTCATTTCCTAGAATGAGCTCGAGCGGGTCACTTTGAGAAGCTCAAAGTGTGGCTCTGCTGTGCAGCTGTAATGAAGAACCACAGACCGAATGAGGAAGTGGGGCTCAGAAGAGCACAGTGAGCCAACAAGGCTCTCAGCTGGGTTGAGGAAGGGCCAGGACCAGTCTGCGCCTGCTATAGACCACAGCAGCTATGGGGTCCCGAGCTGTGAACCGCTCACCCTCCTACCCAGCACAGAGCTGCCTGGAAGCATCACCGACCCTGGGAACTGATCGTGGGCTTAGATGTCACTGCAGCATCCATTCATACGTAGTGTTTCTGCTGAAGGAACTCAAGGATTGGAAAGACCATCGCAAGGCGGGCATTGCCGTGCTCATGCTTCGTGTTGGTCTCTGTGTGGCTGGTGGATGAAAACCTTAGAAAACCCCGTGGCTCTTCTTGTCACTCTGGGTAACACGAGTTCCTCGAAATGAAAATTACAGCACCCAGTCCACTCATTCACAGCTCTGATCTGGTGAGTGGGTGGCCTTTGCCCTTCCCTGGATTGGGCGGAGGACGGTGTGGTGCAGGGATGCCGGGAGCCTCCTCTCCACCTGGACTTCTCCTGTGACCTTCCCTAACTGGCAGCCAGGTTTTCCAAACCTCTGCATGTGAAGAGCAGGGGAGAAAGAAGTGGCTGCAAGATGGAATGGTTTTCTGTTGACTGCACCGTCTTCCTGGGCAGGGATGGCTGGCTTTTTACCAGGGCACATTTTCCTGTCTGCTGCTCCACCCACCTTGGCTTCCTGTGATGGGGTTCATGCTCATCCCCTCTGCTCCTCACCACTCTCTCTGCCCCAAGCTCTCGGCTGTTCTTCCTGCTCCTCTGCTGCAGTCTGTCTGTCTGTCCAGGTGGCTTTATAAGCCAGCATCTAAGAACTCCCTTTCTCTGGCTTGGTCTCCAAGGAAAAACACTCAGCACCCTCCCCTTTGTACGATCCCCACTGCACAGTTACATCCCCAACTACAGTCCCCAACTCTGGGCCCGGACGTTCACTCAGCCTGTGCCCTTGGCATTTCCAAGTGTCAAAATCTACCTGTCATCAGCATGTATCGATTATACTCTGTCCACAAAGTCTTTTCCAACTCCTACTCTTCTGGCCAATACATGTACTCCAACCTAGTTCTTGAAGGTTCAAGAACTGTAACCTTTCAGGTAGTATGCTTGTAAGTTCCGCACACTATTTAGCATTTGTTTCAGAATACACCAGCAACTACCTTTTGGTTTCTGTGATCATTTAGATTTGAAGTGTCCCCCCAGATCGTATGCTAAAGATGTCCATGCCAACTGGCTTTGGGGGACGTGACTGGCTCAGGATCATGAAGGCTCTAACTTCACCAATCCATGCTTGACACTGCAATTTGAAGGCTTTATTGGAAGACGATGGAAATTTAGGAGGGGCTGCTGAATGATGTGGATCGCAGGGCATGTCCTGGGGGCCTATATCGGGCACCTCCCTCTCTGGCTCATTCCCTTCCTGTTTCCTGGCTGCTCCAAGGTATGAGTGCTTTTTTTTTTCACAATAGGCCTAAGGGCAACAGAGCTAAACAATCAGGGGCTGAAACCTCTGAAACTGAGAGTTCAAATACATCTTTCTTCCTTTAAATGGTTTTTCTCAGGTACTTGGTCAGAGTGATGCAAAACAAACACAGTTTCACAGGCCACGATTCACATCAGCACCCTGTTAACACTGTACGTGTATGCACACACACATCCACGCATGCACGCCAATGAGGCCCCCCCACACCTGGCGTCATGATGCCAGGAATTAGGAGGACAGAGGTGAAAGACACCAGCCCTGCTCTGGGTGTCTCTGTGGTGAGACAGAAAGCAGAGCATAACAATAAACACTGCAAGTGCTGCTTCTGTCAGGCATGGAGGTGCACAGGCTCCTCACCAGGCTGGAGAGAGCTCGGTGTGCTCTAGAAAATGCTCAGGACTCAATCTAAGGCTTGCAAACTTCTACCTAAGGCAGGGCTCTCTTTTACCGAGTCAGGCTGTGTAACAAGCCTGGAATTGGTCTATCCTTTCTTGGTTACACTATGTGTGAACTGCTTGGCACCACACAGCAGCCACTAAATGTTCACTTTACTTTTGGCAGTCAGATGACTAGAAAACACAGAAGCAGCTCATGAAAGTGCAAACCAGCTTTGCCCACGGGCAGATGAGGAATGCCACTAGAGGTCAGGCCATGGTCTCTGGAGGTCCACATGGTTACCAGGAAGTGAAGTGTCGTTTGTGTGCAGTGTGTCCTGACTGTATGTCCACAGTGGCCACTGTCGCTTCTTTTTGAGTAAGCCTTGGCTCTCTCTGAAGGAAGCTGCCTGCCTCAAAATCATGCACAGTCCCCACCAGCTGGGGACTTGATGACAAACTGTGGTCTCCTCAGGAAGTGATGAGAGCTTTCTTTGATGTACATAGAAGGGGTGAGTGGGCTGAACACAGCCAGGACAGTTCCCAGCCCAGAGAGAAGCCTCCTCCGGAGGTTTAGGTAAAACAACTGCCCTGGGGGAAGAAAGAGGTGCCTGACAAACCAGGCTCCAACACCAGCAGCCAGCTCCACACCGACAGAGCCCGCACAAAAGCACAGTGTTGAACAGGATTTCTCTGAAATAAAAGCTTTCTGGCATCGTTTGTTATGGTGATTAAATCATCTGTGACTCTTCAGTTCTGAAGGGAAATTAATTTCTTTTGCGCATCAGTGCATTGGGTAAGAGAATAACAATGACATGCTCAAAGGCCTTTGTGAATGTAGGTCATAAAGCCATGCTATTTTCCCAAGGATTGTTCCAGAAAAGCACGGAGTGGAGAATGTCCAAAGCTCAACTCATTTGACTCAGTCAGTCATCAAACACCCTAGCCTGACAGGGAAGGGGAAGCTCCTTCCCTGGGTCCCCTGGAGCTTCAACTTCCCCGTTCTGCTCAGGGGGGACTGTTCATGCTCAGAGAGGGGCTGACATGGGAGCCAGCTGGTCCTGTGTGTACATGAAGTGCTTCACTCCCTAGGGCACCACCTCTGCTGCATATGCAAGCTGATCTCAGGGAGGGAAATAATAACATGATATCAAGTTCTGTTTTTTGTTTTTTTCCAAAGTCTTTTTTTTTTTTTTTGGTACCGGGGATTGAACTTGGGTCCTTGCGCTTGCCAGGCAGGCCACCGAACCGCTGAGCTAAATCCCCGGCCATTTTTTCCAGTCTTCTTCCACTGGCTTATTTACAAAAGACTCACAGAAAGCGTTCACCGGAAGCTGGCTAGTGTGTTAGGCACCATGGAGCAGAAGGGACAGTGTCCAGCACCCCGTGCTCTCAGCACCCAGATGCAGTGAGTGTTCAGCACCCTGTGTGCAGCCCCCCACCCAGAGGGAGCTGGGGAGGCGGGTGGGTGCTGCCTGTGGAACTGTGCCCCCATTGCAGACAGGAGTGGAAGCCCAGCCTGAGATTTTTGTTGTCCACTCTGTTCAGACCCTAAAAAGATGAAGGAGGAAGCTTTCCCTGAAAGCTGTTGATAAATTGCTAGAGGCAGTGAGCCTTATTCTGCGTAAGTCTGGATATTTGTTTAGAAGATAGCTAGGGCTCAGTGTTTACTGTATGCTGCACAGTTGGAAATGGTCATGTGAATTATTGTTGCTGAAATTAGCAGTCTAGGTTCTGAGAGTTCTCCAGGAGGAGCCCGAGCAGAAGCTCTGCTCTCTGCTGCCAGGCAGGACCTAGCAGCTGACTGGAGGCTCCCAGGAGCCAGGGACAGCCTTCATGGGGGCTCCATGGCCTTGGGCTCAGAGAAGCACTGTGCTGGCCACTCTGCTCGTCTCCTAAGCCCTTCAGAAATGACCCCAGCCCAGGGCCTCAGGGTGAGAACTCTGAGCCTCTGCCTTCTCCTGGAGCAGACAGTCTGATGGCCACAGCGGACCTTCCACTGCAGGCAGAGTATGAGTTTGCTATGGTCTCAGACGAGTCTCTATAACCCTGTGCATTTTCTCTCTCTTTTATTTATTTATTGGTACCAGGGATTGAACTTGGGTCCTTGCACTTGAGAGGCAGGCAGCGGCACCAGTGAGCTAAATCCCGGCCCTGTGCATTTTCAAAAGAAATCAAAACGACCCTCCTCATGCCGAGGCCCAGGTGGGACCTGCAGAAGGAACTCTGGTGTTGGCTCTGCTCTGGAGACAGCATATCCCCATGGGGCTGTGGCTCACAGAACCCTCGCACCAGCTGGGCTCTGGAGCTGCACAGGGAAACCTGTGCAGGAAGTGCATGCAATGCGCAGCCTCGGAGCAGGAGCCTGAGCTGCTGCTCCCTCCCTGGGGAGTCCAAGGCAGCTCCTTTAAGTGTTTTGTCTTCAAGCAGCCACCTCCCCCAGTATTTACCCTGACCAACAAAAGTTGGCAGAAAAATATAGAAGATTTCAGCTGATGGGAATTCTGAGCTCTGTGTCTAAGTACAGCAGCCTCACAGCCTGCAAATTGTGTAGAATGACATGATCGTTTTTGAATGTCTCTCTGGTGCTGTGGCCCTGATTTAGGGGTCTGGGTCTATGACTCTACCCTCCTGAGCTCTCTCAGAGCAGCAGCTACAGATGGCAATTTAGAGATGTCAGGAATCACAGGACTCTGAGCAAAAACCCCATGACCCTTAACGTGACTCCTACGGAACATGGCGCCATTTGTACCGTGTGGCTTTGGAATCCCGGAAGACGGGCTCTGCATACTTCTGGCCTGGTGGCAGACTTGGTGAGAAGCCCACGGGGGAATCATTTTAAAGTGGAAAAAGGGTGAAGTCACCATGGTCAGAGCCCCCACAGAAGGTGGTGAAGGCTGTAAGTGATGCTGTGTGTGTTTTAATGTTCAAAATAGCAGTGTTAATGAAGACACCTGGAGGGCACTGTCACCCTCCCCAGGGAGCACCCAAGACCATGCAGTGGCAGAAGAGTCCCTGCTCTGGTACACAGTGGGCCACTCAGTAAATGTGGGTTTCGGTGTGAGCTACCAGCACCAGTGCTTGGTTCTTTCCTTTCCTGAGGGTCTCACATGTGTGGACAAGGGGCCTAGGACTGCTGGGTGGAATGCTTGCCTCTCCTGCACACAACTCTGTGTGGATGTTCCCTGCTCTCCCTGCATAACTGTGAGGCAAGGCATCTTTCCTTCACAGATGTGGAGATTGAGTCCTGGACCCGGAAAGTAACTGCTCAAAGTCACAGGGGCAGACAGGGTTGGGACTTGCACCTCATTGGCCACCTGCACTTAGGGCTTAACATCAACCTTACACACGCTGCAGAGAAGCACTGTTCCAAGTCTGCTCCGGTGAGGTTGCCTTTTACTCTAGCCTCACCTGGGCTGGGCTTGTGTGTTAATAAGTTCCCTCTGCTGCCTTCCCATCAACTTCCAAACTGTAGAGAAAACATTCCAGGCCCAGGACTGCTTCTCAGACTCTTCTGAGACTCTGGAACCCTGAACATAGGGCTTTGAGGCCAGCAGCAGTCACATACAAGTTTCTAAATTAAGTCCAACCTCAGATCCTTCTACGTTCCCTTGCAACTCAGCAACTTAAAATAAATCCATGACATTGCATTGCATAAGCCATTCGGCATTTTAATAACATGTGTTTATTTCAACTCTAGCTCAATATCTATTCCCACAAAGTTCCACAAAATTCCCATTTCCATTCATTCAAAGAGACAGACTCAAATCTCTGTTCTCTTTGGTGCAGGCAACTCAATTCTGCCCAACTCATGAATGATCCCATCCTGGCAACTCTAAGATCCTTAAGTCACCTGGGGAAGCTGAGCGTGATGAAACCAGAGGTACTGGGCTGCATGGCTTACTGTGGCCTCTGGGTTCGGACTCTAGTGCATGCTGGGAGGCAGCCATTTCCCACGCTGGCGAGAGGGAAGTGACCATTCTGGGTGTACATCTGGGGCTGTGGTCACTCAGAGCACACATTTGAAACCTTCTATGATCAGGGAGGATATCTTCCTAACAGGGAATCAACTCCATGCTGAGGCTTTGGGAGGGGACTGGAATGCCCAACTACTGTCCCTGGGACCAATCAAAATAGTCTTGAAATGGAAAGATCCCGGCCACCTGCGCAACTTCAACCTCCCCAGCCCACGCTGCCCCAGCTGACCTCATTTTTCAGGCTCCTGGCCAGGAAGTGTTCTGCCACATGTGCCGGAAGCACGTTCTCCAGCAGCACGCGGTTCAGGTTCTCCATGGTCTCTATCTCCTCCCGCTCTTTTTTGAATTTGTTCTTCCACAAGAAGTCTAACCTACAGTAATATTCATTCTGTTACAGGAGGACACAGAGGGAAGAGACAATAGGCATCTTGTCCTGCCAGAGAGTGGAGCTTTCAAAGAGAAAATAAAAAGAACAAAACAAAACCGAACAAAGAACACCCAAACAGAACTGCCGCCCTCCCTACAAAGCCCTGTGTTCCCCTAAAACATCTGTCAAACCATTTCTAACATGAATTAAAAAATAAAAAGCAGGCTGAAGAATGAACGGCCCCAGAGAAGAGTAACTGCGCCTTTAGCTTCACACAGCTACATGAGACAAAGTTTCCGACGTGGCCATGTGAATAAAGGAAGGCTTATGGATTTCTCTGAGGGGCATGCCAGGATATAAATGGTGAATAAATGGAAAACGAGCACTATGTAGTGTAGGGCACAGTTGGTTGATTCACATTAGAAAGGTTAGTGTTCTTTGGTGGGAGTTCACATTCAGTATTTGTAAATCAGCTTTTCTCTCTCAGTGGCACACCTAAGGATTCACTGTACACAGATAATGTCATTATGGTGAGGCAAAAGTACATACTGAAATAATTTAAGACAATGCCTGATGGCTGGACATAGCTGGGGACACTTAGAGTCCCTGCACTCCAGGAGGCTGAGTCAGGAGGATGGAAAGTTAAAACCTCGTCTGGGCAACTTAGCAGGACCCCCACCTCAAAACAAAAAGTAAGAAAAGGGCTGGAGATGCAGCTCAGTGAGAAGGTCTTGGGTTCGATCTCCAATACTACCGAAAACACCCTTGCTGCTAGAAAGAACATGTGCTTATGCTTTATCATGTATTAAAATATAGCATTTTAAAAAGCCAATTATTGCTATTAGTATAAAAATGGAGAAGGTTATTTCTTGGCCAAGGGTCTTTTCAGACTTGGAAATCATTTTGCGCTGCTCAAGATATAAACAATTTAATGTAATGAAATGGATTTGACTGAACCCTTCCATCACAGAAGGGTATATTAGAGAGGGTGTATTTCAGCACAGATAGTAACTTACAGATAAACAATTGTGGAGAAGTGCTACATGCAGGGTGTGTTTGGTGGATTTGGCTAATTATGAAATGATAGTATAAGATACAGGAACACAGTCACAGATGCACATGCCAGTGCTCTCACGCACAGATGGAAGTTTAGACAAATCCACCTTTTGAAACACAAAGTAACAATAATCATTCATCAATCTAGCTTATTCAAACGATGTATGAATATGCAAAACATTCCTCCTCCTCGGTGTGGCAGTTATTTTTCATCTCCTGTAGAGAGACGTCTCCCAAAGACTGCAGAAAAGGTACTTTTCATGCCTCACCCTGAGGCCTCCCTCCTAACAGATCCTGTCATGCTCTTCCCAGGAAAGGGCCCACACCTGGGAGACGGACTGTCTCCTTGGATTTGGGGTGAAGCAGTGGCGTGGCTGGCTTTAAACTAAAGTGGCAGCAGTGATCAGCAGCGGGGATCAAGAAGACGGAGGTTCACACCCAGTGGCGCCTCAGCCACCAGCAGGAGAAGCAGCACAAGCGAGAGCCCTCCCCAAAGTCTCAGGGCGTCCTGCCAACCACACGCGGAAGCTTCCCAGTTCTCCAAGCAGCTGCCGTTGCATCTTGTACCTTGCTATGCTCCCACTAGGAAGCAGGCAGGCTTTGGGGACAGCCCTACTGCATGGAGGAGCTGACTTTCTGCTCATCCGCCTATCTGTGTACCATCTGCACTACTTCCTATCCGCTATGGTCCAGGTCTCTGGAGGTGGCCCCGAGAGGCCCCCGTGTTGGAAGCTGGGTCTCAGGTGGCCCGGATGCTGTGAGGCCCTTCAGTCCTGGCTGTGCCCTGAAGGAACGTGGCCGCTCTGGTCTCCTGTTTGAGGTGTAATAATTTGTTCCTGATTGTGTGCTTGCACCATGGGGTGATGCCAAAGGGTGCCTCAGTCAGGCCCTTGAACCTCTGAGTTCTCTGAGATGAAGAAACCTTTTTTCCTTATAAAATGATCTGGCCTGTTACTCTGCTACAGCAACGGAAATTAAGTAAAACCTCATCTGTCTACTCTATGTGCCATCTATGTGTATACCTATCAATTCTACCTTCTGTTTATCAATTATTTATCTCTCAGCCATTTATCTATGTACTTCTATCAACTCCTTAGCTGTCAACCCCATCCCGCCTCACCCAATCCTACCTTATCTATCCGTCCCATCACCTTGCCAGGCAAAGCAATCTGCTTTAGAAACCTCTTCTTTACATGGAGGTAGCTATTACCACAGAGGCTCACTTGGAAATCCCCGAGGAAAATAAGTTTCCATCCCAAACCAGTTGTAATGGTTTTAATAGTGTCCCCCAAAAGATAGTCCCAAGCCCTAGCTCCTGATATCTGTTTATGTGGATTTATTTGGAAATAGGGTCTCTGCTGATGTGACAGAGTCAAGGCCCTTGAGAGGCCTTCATTGTGAATTTAGGGTTGATCCTAACCCTAATGATGGGTGTCCTCATTAGAGAAACAGGGAGACTCACAATGGGCTGCAAAGAGACCACAGGGGGTCAGGAGGAGGACGCCGTGCCTGTTCAGGTCCCCCCAGCTGCAGCCTTGCCCTGTGTGCTGCTGTCTGTGGCTGCCACCCACCTCTCAGCTTCAGTCTCGGGCCACTCTGCATAGTTTCTGTGGCCTAGACCCCATGCAATGCAGTCTGTTCTTCCTCGGCTCTGGGCACAGGGGAGAGAGTAGGGCCAGCCTGGGAGAACCTTCAGTACCACCCCTCATCTCATTCTGAAGCCCTTGAGGGTAGAGGGCTTTACACCCCCTCTACAGAGACAAAAGGGCCAGGAGCTGGGCTGCCAGGTGGGCTTCTACCTCTCCCTGGATTTGGGACGCTTCTTCTGAGGTCACACAGATACCCCCTGCTTTCCCATGGTGCACACCCCTCCCTGCACCCCAAGCCTGCCACAGAGTGGGCTGCCCTCAAACTGGTGGGAAACAGGATTCTTCCTTTCTCAAAGGAGGCCTGTGCTGGCTGCATTTCAACCACAAACCTGACTTTAGTGTAGCAGCAGGGCTGCAGGTTTTGCATGAGAGAGGTGTCATATTTCCATCAGGTTACTTATCCACCTAGAGCAACATTTGGTGCACTAATTTGCTCAGAAAGCAAGCACATTTCTTCCATTCCAAAAGAGATGGTTACAAGGCAGGGCGGCTACTAGGACAAAGAGAGTGGACATAAGTTCCACCATGTTATAAACCAGTCAGGAAAGAGTACACTAACCAGTAGGTCACCAGTGCTATGGTACTAGAAAGCCCAATTTCAAATCAAATCAGGGCAGTCCTTTGTAAGATTGCTGGAGTTAGGAAGGCTTTGCAGAGGCCTTTTATCACAGAGGTCAAAGGTCACTTTGGCCAGAAGACCTGGCACCCAGATAAATCACTGGCTTCACGGTGCTTCTCCTTCATGGAGAAGGGCCAGCCTACTGGACCACCCTGACCATTCCTGGGGTGCCTTGCATAGCCAAGGGATTCCTAGCCACCTGCTGCCATGATCATGAAGGATGCCTATTCCGTTAGGAAGGCACATCTTTCTAGGCTCTATGTGTGCCCATTACTTTTACTGTATTAGTGACACAAAAGAACAGCTCCCTGCAAGACCGGTATCAAGCTTAATTACATCGGTGCCCGACTATAAAATTCTTCTGATTATTTACCATCGGAAAAATCACTTAGAGGGTAATGGCCCCATTGTCAGTGGCTGGTCTCAACCAGTTTTTATAGTGTCACTGGCTGACTGTCACCTTAGTGACAGATAAAACAAAGTCAGGAGATTGAATTTGATTCTGGATTTATAGGACATGTTGCTGCAGTGACCGGAGGCTGTAGGATGTAGCATCGGGGCCACGACTTGGCAAACAGGCAACCCACACAGAGGCCTCTGTCCTGTGGGGCCGGCACCGGGGTGTTCCCCAAGGCAGCCTGACTGTCCCTCCCATCTAAATTTCTGGGCTTCCCAAGCGGGCACATGCCTATTGTAGAGTGAGGGCAGCGAGCTGGCGAGTAGGGAGAAATAAGCAGACAAATAAGCCAGTGGTAGGAGAAACCAGGAAAGTAACAAGAGCAAAAAGCATGAGGCAAGCTGTCAGATGTGTGAGCCCAAGGGTGCAAAAGGAGAAATGCTAAGGACAGGTGGGAGTGTGCAGGGATGGGTGTGGGAAGGGAGGGGGCTCAGGAAGCTTTGCCCCTGGTCAGACAGCTCGACTGGAGCTGATGCACCTTCAGCTCCTGGGGAGGGACCCAGCTCATACCACCTGGGTGGACAGGAGGGGACAGCTCCAGAGGCAAGATGGCCACTCACAGACATGCACTGTGCTTGACTGTGCAATCACGAACAGCTCCTGAGCAGGTAGAACTGGAAGCCAGATCCAAACACACAAATCTGTGCCTTGCAGGTGTGTATTTTAGATTTAATATAACTCGGATTTCATATAACTGGTTAATAGTGTGTATGGGGTTTAATAGGCATTGCTCGAGTTGGTTGTTTGAAAATAAATGTTTTGCACTACCCCGATCACAGAACTTAAAACAGATGTTGGTTGAGGCATCTGGCTGGCTAGCTGTAGATGAGTTTTGTAATCTATGAGTCAGCAACCTCGCAGAAGAGAAAGAATAACCCTTCAAATCCTGTATGCAGTCACTGCTGGGAGACCTGGAGAAGCAGCACAGCCCACAGAAGGAGGAATGTTCCATTCTTGTCACAATATATACATTTGCAACAAAGGATCCTATTTGTTGAAATGGTTGCAAAGGGAAACAAAAGTATCCTAACCATTTCCAAGCAAAAGAAGCGACATCCATTCTGAAATACGCTGAAAATCCCAGTCAAGAGTGTACTTTTCCAAACAATGCCAGCTGTTTGGAAACCATGGGAGACACTTCTGTAGGTCTAGAAAACCTATAAAATTTGCTGTCGTTTCAACAGGCAATTAGTTAATTCATACCTCTGGCATTCACAAAGTTTGCCTCTTGTGGGGGAAAAGGACTTCTTTCCTCTCTATCTGACCTATGCTGCTTGCGGCCTACTCTTCCTCTGAAGTGATCAGGCCATCCCAACTCTTCAGCAAAGCACAATCATTCGTCAGCACCTCAGAGTTAGGAAAGCAGACTTCTTACCTGTCTGCCCAGGACAAGCAGGGTGATGAAGAATATAGAGAGAGATACGGAGCCCATGGTCTTCAGGTCTTTCCAAATGCCTGGCCTATTAAAAAAAAAAACCGACAGACAGACATGCATGGGACTTAGAATTCAAGGACTGACAAACTTCAGAATCTCTAGTGCGCATCTAGGTTCCAGTCAAACACACACTTCAAATACATCTTCAAACCCAGCTTGTATAAGAAGAAAATCCTGACGCTTGAGGTCATAATAGAAGACTTCCAAGTTAAACCAGACGTCCTGTTGTAGATTAAGCTCTGACTTACACAAAAGGAAGGGCTCGTCGAGGATTCATGCCATTTGCTTTATTCTTTTGGGATACATACGCACACCTGAGCATATGGTTTCTTCAGTTTTTTTCCCTCAGAGAGAGAGATGATGCTTGGTGTTATTAACTACGTGGGGTATAACATGAGGGTGAGCACCTGGGTTTCCACAAGCCCCTCCCACTCTGGAATGACTCAGTTCTGTGCTCCTTCCTAGTGGTGCTGCTCTCACATTTTGATGGTTTTGTATCACAGGCGTGGACAGCCAGACACCGACTACACCACTGGGCAGCTGCTGCCGACCCTCCCACCCCAGGACGCCAGTAGATCTCTTCCTGTGCCAGCGCAGATATGATGGTCACTACTGCCTGGGAGGCCGAAGGGAGAAGGGTGAGCCAGGCCCAGCACAGTCCGTCAGACCTGAGCGTGCACTCCTGGAACCTCCTTTGATGGAGGAGCTGAGCTCAGGGGTTTGCTTTGTGATTTCTTTGGTTTCTCCACGGAGGTTCTAGGGCAGACAATGCAGTGAGAGCATCTGGTGCAGAACGAAAGCGGGCAGAGGGCTTTGGAGTAGGAGACCTGGGTTTGAGCCTGAGCCAGTAGGAGACCGGCAAACCCCCACAGCTCTGCTCCTCACCAGGGGCTCCAGTGCCTGCCTTGCCTACCTCACCCTAGTTTGGACAGCACTCCGAGGAGTTATGTGCCTCATATAGATACACAGTCTGAAGCACACAAGGCTCTTTGTGAATAGCACTCGTGATTTCTAGAGTTAACTGCAGATTGTAAGGGAAGGGGATGGGGCTAGCAGCAAGAGAAAAGGATAAGGAGATGCACATTAGCAAATTTAACTGACAGAATGAAAGACCAAGTCCAAGGGAAAAGCAGGGTGAGGAGACAATTGCTTTATCCTAGTGGCCGAAAGGCTTGAGATGATGAGAATTCTGCAGAGAGGTGGAGCTTGAATTGGGCTCCTCCCTCTCTCCTACACCTGCTGTGTGCTGGCCAAGATCTACCTCTTCCCTTTCTCTCTGAGGATAACCCAAGGGCGCTTACCCTGTTCACTAAATCCACTCTTATAAAACTGAGCTGTTTTTCTCCGAGCCCATGGCAACTGTGTCTGATGACACAGTTGAGATGACAGAGAGGAGATGTAGTAAAACAATGTTGATTTCCGGAAGTTTTAGACCCACTTTTGTCTACATCTATTACACGATCACTGTACAGATTAGTTGATCAAAGCAGCAGAACACACCCAGTGGCCCAAGATGCTGGTGTAAGCTGAGCTTTTCACTTTCCTCGAACAACAAACAGCATGTTACTCTGCAATTCCGAGGGGCTGGGGCAAGAAGCTAGGACCTCCTCTTCTTCCTCCCACCACCTTCTCAGCCCCTAGGAATCCAACACCAGGCCCAGAAGGTGCAGCAGCTCCACGAGTGTAAGAAACCAGGACTCAGCAACCTGTTGCTCTTCCCGCTAAGGGACCAGGGCCCCAAATGCACAAAGCCAGAGGCAGGGAAGGCTCTCTTAGGCAATTCAGGACCTGGTTGGTTTCCGGTTAATGCAGAAATGTGTACAAGCAACTTGTTGAGAGAAATCCTTCTTGAGGACTCCTCACATTAATCCATGGACCTGTGTCTGGGTGTGGAAACCCCCTACTCCATCTGTCTTCCGGATCTTACACCTTACTTACAACAATGGCCAGTGGCAAAAGGCACACGAAGGAGGAATCGAAATAGAGAAGGCTCTCCTTGCTACTCTGGAAGCTCAGGAAATCTCAGACCAAACGGACCCCAGAAACAGCAGGGGCCATGTAGGCTACTATGTGTTGAGACACGGGGGCCTTTTCTGAAATTCTCTGTGCACTGGGAAGGACTCCACTTGGCTTTCTTAGAATGTCCTTAGACTTCTCAAATGCTGCTTTCATTTGGTTAGCAGAGAACTGCCAATGCACACAGGGAGCCTGTCTCCCAGCAGGGCTGCCTCTGTGTCTGTGTGCGCATGGGAGAGGTGGGCAGGAGGCAGAGGGGAGAGTGGAAGAGAATCCTCCTTGGGGGTGGGGGGCTCTTCCTGGCAGAGTCCCATGACCACTGTCTTAGTTCCTGGGTTACTATACCAAGGCGACACAAGTGGACTGCTTTGGCCCAACAGAAATGTCCTGCTTCACAGCCCTGGAGATGAGACATCAGAAATTAAAGTGTGCCCAGGGACACACTACTTATGAAGCTTCTGGGAACCCTCCTTGACATGTCCTAACTTCTGGGAATATCCATTGTCCCTCGGTGGCTTGCCAGGAGTATCTGGTGTGCTCCCTCGGCTTCTTGCCTCATCATCCAACCTCTGCAACATCACTGCATGGCTTCCTCTGTGTGTCTCGGTCTCCACACGGCTGTGTTTTTCTAAGGCCACTGCCATGCTGGACCAGGGCTGCCTCTCTCTGGCTGGGCTCACCTTAACTAACCATACAGTATCTGCAACTATTTAATGTCCACATCGGGTAATGTTTGGGGGAACTGGAGATTAAAACTTCACCATATCACCTCTTGGGAGACACAATTCAACCCCCTTGTTGGGTTGGCCATTTCTCTAAAAATGACAGCTAGGTGGTCACACACACACGTGTGCACACGCACGTGCACCCACAGCTGTAGGGCCAAATCCACTTTGGACCCTCATGTTAGCGAGAGGCCATCACTGCTTTAGGAAGTGGGAAAGAGCCAGCTAATATAAGACAGTAAGTTTCTAACTCTAAGATTTCTAACGTGATAACAGCAGTACACAAAATGAAACCAAATACACATTCTTTCTATCTACAAATTAGAGTCTGAAGACTTTGACCCCTAAATATGCCTGTGGCCGCACATTAATTTGCAGTTCGCCATCTGCCTGAGACTGTCCTTGGAGCAATCATTCTGGCCCTCAAGTTTAGGAATCTAGAAGAGAAACACATGCTAAGAAGCAGAGTTGAGAGGGGTACAGGAACTGCTTTGTGAACCAGTCCCCCTAAGGGCCAACACTTCAGGTGGGGTAGAGAGGACATTTCATCATTCTTAGGGGAGCAGCCAGTCTGGGCACATAAACACAAACAGAAACGGACTTTTCAAATCCTGGCAGTTTCCCAGGTAAAATGAACTTTTATTAAAAAAAATGTACCTAAAGAAACCCAGTTTCCACTGTGTTGTGAACAACAGAGTAGCTGCAGTGAAAAAGATCTTCTCAGGCCCACAACTTGGGGGAGAGGCCACAGAGTGGAGCCCGTGCCAGCTGCTCAGTCTCAGAGGTGTAGCTTCTAGCTTTCTTGGTCTTCTCTCTGCTGCCCTATTAAGTTAGGAAACACCTGGCTTTGCAGTAATCAGAGACCCCCAAATCCTCAGGAATCTCTGATGTCAAATGAAACAGAAAGCAAAAGTTTTGTCCAACAGAGTGATGATAGAAGTACGTGTCTGCCCACTGCAACTTATTCTGCACAGGCTGAGGACAAGATTCCTAGTTACAGAAGACCACAAAGCACCCAGCAAGTGAATGTGGCTGTCAGGGAGGATAAGGCAAAGTAAAGCTAGAAAATAAAGACAGCCCTGCACCCTCTCGGCACAAATTCATCTGAGTCTCCTCTGCAGGGGTGGCTCCAGCCGAGACGCGCTGGGTGCGAAGCTATGTTCTCGCTTGTTTTAGCAATTGGCCTGTGGATTCCTTGGGCCCCTCTTGGAGCCTCCTCCCCCACCTGAGTCTCCAAGGCAGCGGCCAGTGACGACTCATGAGAAAGTCAGGTTGGCCAGGGTTCCCACGCTCTAAATCAAGGCACCAGTGAGATAGCCTCAGAAGAATGAATGAATGAAGGGACAAACAGCTGCTTTGGCCTGGAAATTGCTCATCTTCCCTCATGGATTTCTAGGTGCTCTTTCCTGCCTGGTTGGACACAGAGTCACCAGAACCCTATGCGAAATTGCAGAGAGGGTGGCTTGGTGCCATCCAGGGACAGATGGCACAAATCCTCACGCTCTGTCAGTGTTACTTATAAACGCCAAGCAAAACATCCCAGGGCTAAGAACAGCCGGATGTAATAAGGAGCAGACTCATGCCAAGGAAAAGGCCCTGGAGGCAGCAGCAGGTCAGGAGGCCTGGGGAGCCAGTGCTGGCCATTGGCCGTGGAGATGACAGTGCCTCCTGATGAATGTGACTGTGGGCCATTCCATGGAGAAGTGATTTTTAATGTGTAGTGACACCATGGAGCTGGGCACAGGGTGAGCATCCAGGGTGGATAGGAGGGGTACAAGCGCGCACTCTGTAGACACCGAGGGCAAAGGTCTTGCACAATCCCACTCCCCTCTGTAGGTCAAGTGAAACAAGACAGAGCAAGCCCCCCTGTCAAACGTCCTCCTTCAGGCAGGTCCAAGACGGTACAGGTAATCACAAGACACTACTTTGGTCAGTTGGGGAAGCATGTTAGCAAGGGCTGCTTTCTGTGAGAGGAACTGGGCAGCCCTGGTGGACACAGAGCTAGGCTGCTGGGATTCCCTCCCTCCCTGCCTCCCGATGTGGGCACCACACAAACAGAAACATGTGCGCCTTACTTTTGGAACATGGCACAGGGAGTCAAAGCTGAGGTATTACATTTGAAAATAATTTTAATTTTTTTTCTATATTAACTTGGATACATTATAGGGACAACAAATGTAGAGACAACTTTAACTTCAATTCTAGCCACTGGGCATTCCAAGACATGCAGCTGAAGCGTGGAAACCGGGACAGTTCTGTCTTAGAGCTCTTCTCACACAGCTCTTCCTGATGATGGTTTGGGCTTCTCCATTGCTCTCCCACATGGGGGCGCTGCTGAGGTAGGAAGGTGAGACCAAGTGGCCATGTCTACCAGCCAGAGTCTCAGCTTCAGGGTGACGCTCAGCACTGGGGAGACAGGTGTTTAGGGACTGGATTATGTGCCATCCTCAACTTTTACTCAGCTAATGTTCCAACGCAGACCGGGGTAGTCCACAGGGCTCCCAGGTAGCTCCTAGGTAAGAGGTTCTATCCTTCTGGCCTCCTTAGAATTAAAAGTGGCCTTCAGGTGAACTCTCCTCACGACTGGTTCTACATGGAACAATGACGCCCAGGCCTTGACGCTTTTCGGTGGTTCTGCACGAAAAGAAACCTAAAAACTGACGATATCGCTCAGACTCTGCAGCCAGCCCGAGCCATGGGAAGGGAGCGTAATTTCATGACAGGACTCAGCTGTCATTAACATCACCATCACCTGGGAGAGCACTCAGTGTTTTCACCTCTGGCTCAGGGCTCGGTGGGAAGGTGTCCCAGACAGGAAAGAGAACCATGATCGATGGATTCACAAAACATCCTGTGTTCACAGATGATACAGGGGACTGTTATACACACACCTAGGAGGCAGGAAACACCCAGTTCTCCTTCTTCCAACATGAGAAGCTTCCTCTTCTTTTCTGTGCCCCTAAGAGTCTGTTTTCCACATTCCCATATCCATACACATATCTTTGATGCCATTTCCTGAATTATTCATTGATCTGATGTTTTTCTAGAGCACCCTTTTCCTGTTTTCTCTGCTTGCTCCATCGGCAAAAAGTGCCCTATTGGTCTGCACCACCGTGCAGGCCTTTCCGTGGTGATCCAGGTCAAACTGGTTCAGAACAGGTCACTGCCCCAGAGGTCACGTGAATTCATACAGGACGACCCCATGGTCCACATGCGCGTTCAGTTGTGGCACTGCCTTTGAACAGAGATGCCCTGTCCAAAATTTCAGGCTATAAACAAAAACTTATGTCCACACTGAGGAGACATAGCCTCAAGGAGCTCGAGATATGTACCGCTGTCAGAGAAGAAGACCAAAGAGACTTCACTGTGGCCATATTTGTTTTTCAGCTTGTTTGGGAGCACATCTTGTTTTTATTCATTCAATACCTTTATTAGGTATTGAATAATATAAGGCACCGCTGTAGGTAGTGTTGATACGGCAGTGCCACTTGGTTTAAGCCTTCTGATTTGCTTTATTTGAGATAATAACATATTCTCTTTAACATAATTCCCTTGGTATATAGAAGAAGGATGAACAAATGAGAAAGATTGTATCTGAATCATACAGGGGGACACCTTGCATACTTCTAGGGTGGTACCAACAAGACAGGAGCTGCTCAGCCCTTGGATACACCTGAGGTGAGAGCCAGAAGCTCAAGGTAGATCCACTAAGAGTGTTCAAAGCCAATGAGGAGAAGCCCAGAGCTCCCACGGGCAGAAAGGCCAGTGGCCCATTATATCCAAGAATAGCACCAGAAAGGAAAACAGGGAAGAAGCAGGAAATGATCAGGGAGTGAGGATACAGAGCCCAGCAATCAGTCAGTGAGTGAAGAGATAGTGACAGACTGGCTCTGTCAGAGACAAGTGCTGCCTGGGCCGGCTAGGAGCCAGCTCCCTCCTGGCAGAGCACCTCTGGCTTCAGGACTTAGTGAACCTTACCCTCCAGGCCACCGGACTGGCCCGTCATGTTTTTAATAGGTCCTTCTTTCATATCTGAAAGAGTTGTATCTGTAATAATGACAAAGGCAAAGGAGGAGGAAACTTGTATCAGTTCCTTGATGGGGCTCTCAAATCTCACCAGAGTAAGGAGCATGCCTTTGGTTGTATATCTGGTATGCGTCTCAGGGTTGTATGCAACAGCCACAGAGGCTGGAAAAATCACAGCACTCACTCTGCTCTCTAGGGTCAGCTGACACTAGAGGAAATTTGTGAGCTGTGAGGTAACTGTTCTTCTTCAACCTAATGTTAATAATGCCCTTTTCCAGCTCAGAAGTGCTCCTCGGAGTTCACAGGCTGTGGTGCAGATATGTGGTGAATATTTAAACCAAAAACATTACAGTGAAAAGCATATTTCCATGAATCCCACTCAAAATAGTTTGCCCTGCTTGCATCATTCTTGCCACTTGCTGAACGAGTTCTGGAAGTCTTCTTTTGTGACTGTCTTTGCAAGGGCACAGTGGAAAATACAGTCCGTGCTACTACCAAGAAGCCTTCAATAGAAGGCTAGGCTTGTAAAGAAATGATGCTGGGTCCCCACCCATCCTTTTCACTGGATCTGGTACCACCTGACTCTTGGCTCTTCCTCAGGTCAAAATGACCATGAAAGGTAAATGTCGTGAAGGCATTCAGGACATCGAGGTAGCTGTAACAGCAAAACTAAAGACACTTAGGAAAGGGACTTTCAGAGCTGCTTCAGAAAGTGGTAAGAACCATGGGATGAGTGTGTTTGAAGCGAGGGAAAGTAGTTCGAGGGGGATTTGATGGCAATGTGTGTTTCACTGCAATAAATTTAAAAGTTAAACATTCACCCCAAGTTTCGATCATACTTTTGTAAGGCAGCCCATGCAGGAACAGGTGCAGGGAGTGGCAGAACCTTCTGAGGGAGATTGGGATCTGGGAGACAGCTGGACCCCCATCACTACAGAGAGTGTGCTGGCTGCAGGGCAGGAGTACAACAAGCCACTGAGGCTTCACATGTCAGTCCTGCCTTGGCTGCAGGTTGTTACAGAGCCAGAACAAGAGAGCAAGCACACAAGGTCGAAATAAAACAAAAGTTATCTGAAAGTTAAGCCCCTCTTTTCCTCCACTACTCTCCTGCCTCTGGGATTCTGCCCAGGAAGCGTGTTTCTTTTAATGGGCCTTGCTTGGGTCCCAGAAGTAAGCTTCCCTGCCTCTAAACCTTGCTAATCTAATCTGTGCTTTTGCTTTGGATGTGTAATATATTGCATCACTTTAAATTTAATAAAGGGGAATTTAATAGTGTCATCAGCTGTGTGTGAAAAACAGTGATGCTACATTTCTTCAGGAATGTGAGACAGGTTCTCTGGATACAGTGACTTTGGGTTGGTAATTTTAAGAATTTATAGGAAAGTTAACTTCTAATTACATTCTTATCTTG